GGTAGGGGCCCTCTTCCCACTGCTCACCCAAAAAAAAAGGAATGGAGTCGGTTGTCCGCATCAAGGGGTACACCTAGGCTCAATTCCTATGATACACGGGGGTCCTTTATGAAGGGGTCCCTTAGTTGTCCATGAACCTGAAAATATGCCTTTTTCTTTTGTGGCCCCAAAACACATGCACACTACTCAGTATGAACCTGAAAATATGCCTTTTTCTTTTGTGGCCCCAAAACATATGCACACTACTCAGTCTTGTGTACTACGCACCATGCACAACACAAATCACTCATTGTGCACTATGCATGTATAAAGTGTACAACACAAATTGAGAATGGGCTGGGTCTTGGCGGTAGTATCAATGAACTTTATGATGAAGTCTTTGATTCAGATTCCATTCTCACCAAAAGGTAGGGGCCCAAATCCCCATTGACTTAACCACTTTTTTCTTTTTATGAGAATGGGTGATGGTAGTACCACCTGTGCCTCAATTAAGTCCTAAGCTTGATGGCAGTACCACCTATGCCCAACTAAAGCCTAAGCTTCCATTCTCACTTAACGTATTTAAAAACCACTAATGATTTGAAAAACGAGTAGGGGTTCTTTATCGCCATTGAATTACCCAAAAAAAAAAAGTCTACAATACAAATCACTCAATGCACACTATGCATATATAAAGTGTAGCAATATTGTAACCTTATATAAATTTTTTCCATATTTAAATAAGGATGACAATCCAATTAAGGCATACCTCCAAATTTTATCATAATATATAATTTTGGTGTAAAAAATTCTTAGGATTATCTCGAAATCTATTTTCATATCTCATTATAAAGTTTTAAAATTAAGAAATGGTTAAAATCAAGTAGATATATAAACATATAAAATCATGAAAATGGATGGTCTAGATAATGTGCTGCAAGATGTACTATTTATGGGACTCGAAATCTTTTTTCTTTTTCATATTTATATCTAATTGTCGAGATAATCAATTAGAGGGTTTTTAAGATTAAAACAACAATTTCCAATGGATTTTTGAGGTGCATCTTTAATTCTACATTTTCAAGTTGCAATCCTCTATAAACTTTTTTCTTTAAATAAAGTAAGGCAATATTGAGACCATTTACTTATAACCTTCCGATGTGAAATCTGAGAGCTTGTATATGTCATAAAGTTTGAGAAAATTCATTTTGAACTTTGAGCGTGGTCAATAGAATAAATGTAACCACCCAATGTCATATCCAATAGTCAAGATTAATTTTGACCGCGTTGTACCACAGGTAAATGGTCCCATTATATATTTTTTTCATAAAAAAATCCTTGTGTTTTTTTTTTTAAAAAATAAAAAACTCAAATTCTTTAAAAACCGCATTCATATCTCTTTTTTTTTTTTTCTATATATTTTTTTGCCTAAAATACCCTTTATAGTTGTGTTAGAACTTAGAAAACTCAAATTCTTTAAAAACCACATTCACATCTCTTTTTTTTTTTTTTTCTTACATATTTTTTTACCTAAAATACCCTTCATGGTTATGTTAGAACTTAGAACTGTGGGGATAATCACCGGCCATCCACTTCCACGATTGTATTGTGAAGTTTTAAAGGACCATAATTCTACCCAAACTGTGATGGCTTTTTGGTTTAAAAGCATCACGGTTCTACTATAATTGTGATGGCTTTGGAGTTTAAAAGCATACTGTTCTACTAAAACCGTGATAGTTTTTTTTATTTTAAAAGCATCACGATTCTATTAGTATCAAGCCATTTTAAATGAATAGCAAAACAAATCAAGGTCCTTTATTAACCGTGAAATGTATTTAGGCCTTAAAATATGAACAATTAAAACATTGGGTACAATGAGGTTCTAAAAAAAATGGGTTTTTTTTCCTATGACATAGGATTTTTTTTTTATAATTTTGCAATGAAATATTATATTTAATAGGTATGTATAAATTTACTTTTTAGAAACAATAAAGTTTGTATAAGGTATCCTTCTTGTGGTGTAGAAGAAAAATACACCTATAAATATGAAGTTCTGATGTCTAAAACGTATGATGGTTGTATAGTAATGTAGTTCGGAAGTCAGAAACCTTATAAAGGCTTAAAATATGTTTTTATCCTTAGTTATGAAATTTAAAATTCTAAAGATGGTACAAATCGAGTAGACTTATAAATACTTGAAAAAAATTCTAAAGATGATACAAATCGAGTAGACTTATAAATACTCGAAAATCTTTAAAATAGATGGTTTAGAGAATTTGTGATTAGATGTATTATTTGTAGGACTTGAAATCTTTTGTTTTCTTTATATTCATATATGTTGAGTTTAAGATAATCAATTGGAAGGTTGTCCAACATCAAAACACTCTCTTCTAGATGATTTTTAAGGTGCACTCTACTTCAATAGTACATGGTTAACGCTTCATATGAACTTTTTCTTTTTATAAACTGTAACAAGTGGTTTGGGATTGTGTATACTATGACACCATTTATTTTTGGTACAAAAATACCACAATCACTTTTAGCCGGAGTATCTTGATATCACAACAGTCATGTTTCTTCCCAATTTCCATTCAAATTATGTCACAAGTGTTCCTTCAAAAATATTAATAAGTCAAAAGGTTTTATGCTTCCTCGGGAGCATTTCCTCTACTAACTCCCGTAGAGGTAAAACTGAATTGAGGATTATTTTTAGGTCCTGAAAAACATTTTGTACGATGGTGATCTAATATCAAACAAAAATCTTCTAATTCTTCACTAATGATGTTTGCGGCTTAGCAGACTTTCATATACCAAAGAAGGCAACAATTGAAAACTTACATATTCCTTGGCATCAACAAAGAATCAAGGTTTCCATCTTGGTTGTTTGGTCGTTCTCTAATCCCTAATATTTCAAACTTAATATTGATGGAACTTCTTTTCAAAACCCGGATATGGTAGGTGGTGGTAGGGTTATTAGGGATAGTCATGGTGCCTTTATTGCGGCTTTTGCTAACTCCTTTGGTATTGCATTAAACAATTATGCTGAATTCCATACGATCAAAGTAGGCATTGATATTGCCTTTGAACTCAATTGTTTTCTACTACAAATTGAAAGAGATTCGCCACTGCTTGTAAATGCTATTCAAAGGCAATGCAAAACTCCATGGGCACTCCACACGGTTGTAACCAATTGCCATCACAGATTATTAGACTATAGATGAAGTATTTCCCACATATACCGCGCAGCCAACATGGTAGAAGATACACTTGCTAAGAAGGGGGCATCTTTCTCTGCTATTATAGTTTGGTGTTCTAGACCGTCAAATTTCATTTTTTTGTTTTTACTTTATGGTTTGGCTCAGTTGACCTATGATAGGTCTATAACACTATGATTTTTATCGTCTTTATTTTTGTTCAATGAAAATCGGGTAAGAGGCTTTCTCCCCTAATGATTTACCAAAAAAAAAAGGGTCTAATTCTTTGATGGTAATATCTGGATGTTTAAAAAAACTCAAAATCTATTTGTTTTTTGAAAACAATCATACGATGTTCTTAGGTAGATCCCAAAATTTTAGACTGAAAAAGTCATCCTAAGTAGCTTTTTCACCCGTGGGAGTAAGTACACATTATACGCTGCTCCTGGGGGGAGCATGCTATATGTGCTTCAAACCTTTTATTCCAAAAGTAATTTGGAACCTACAATGGAATTAGAAACCTTGGAAGTGGGAATTAATTTCTCACTGGCAATGCAGTTAGACACTTTGGAAATGGGAATTAATTTCCCACCAACAATATCCATGAAATTACAAAGTGGTTAAGATGGTTAAGCAATCCTATTATTAGTTTTTAAATTCCCATATGCTTTCTTAAAAGATGCGGTAAAACAATAACCAAATTGTCCTTGTTCAAGATTAGTAGCTGTAAGCATATTTTGGTAATTTAATTATATTTAAGTAGTCCAAACCAAATAATGAAAATACCCCTAACAATTTGGGTTTGCAATATAGAATTACCAATTGACAATAATATCCCTAATTGTTTAGGATTAGTAAAGGTAACTCACTTTTTCTATTGTATACTCGTGTTCCATGTTGCTAACTTTGAATAACCTAGGATGTTTTCATTATTTTGCTTTGGCTTCTTAATTAATGCTAAATTAGAAAGTGCCCTTGATTGCTCATATCTTCCGATCTTATGCAATTTCCATTTTGTTAAAATTTTACTATTTTTCAAGAAGGTACTCCAAAAAGTAACAATACCATGTTATTTATGTAATTGATATTTTTTGAAGGAAACTTTTTATATAAGGCAACAACCTTGTAATGTAGAAGTAAGGCTCACTTCAATAGCCCTTCGAAAAGGTTGTTATGCTGCTATAAAATCTTTCAATTGATCATCTTGATCTAAATATTTGTAGTTCAGTAAAAAAACATTTCATGTGCTAAAAATAATGTATTTTGTAATATTTTATCTCGACTGCTTATTTCCAACATTTTTAAGTGCTTATCAATCTACTTGATCTACACTAATTTTTGAACTCTAAACTTTATAATTACAGGTAGAAATAGATTTATAGACCATCATTAAATAATTTTCAACATAGAAACTACATGGTTTAGCAAAATTTTGGAGGTGCACCTTACTTCAGCTGTCGACCCCTCATGCAAACAAAGAATCATTCCTCCTTTTTTTAAAAAAGTCCATTGTCTTGATTTAAGAAAAAGAAAACATATATTGAGTAATGGATAAAGAGATAAAAATAATTATAATAAAAAATAAAAAATACATGATAAAAGATAAAGGGGCTTACGATTTTATTGAAGATATGATAATTAATAAAGCATAATGACGGACTAAAATTCATGCAGCCGATTCTAAATAAATATAAAATAGTAGAGATGATGATAGTGGTGAAGAAACTAAGGCTGCATGAGTCATTTTAAGATTTAATGAGGACGCATTATTTATTATGCACCTTATCCTTACTCTCTCAAATTCGTTTTAGTGCAGACACTGCACCACTGCACGTCTCCCGCTTCGTCCGCCGGAATCCGGCCGGAATTTCCTTCGCCGGCCGGAAATCACCGGAAACACCCCCTCTTCGGCAAACCCAAAAACCAAGAGAGAGAAAATGAGGAGAGAGAGGAGCTATGCATGTGCCACTTCAAAGTTCCTTTTTAGAGAGAGAGAGAGAGTGATTCGGAGATGACGACGCTGACGAAGAACGCTAAGATGCTTACGTGTACAACATAATGCGTAGCCTTTAGAGAGAGAAAGAGAGAGAGATATGCTTTTGCGTGCCATATATAAAGCTCCGATCGGCATTGAGCGCTCATTTGGGGGCCCTCTCTCTTTGGCCTTCTCTCTCTCTAGAATCTCTACTCCCGGTAAGAGTAGCAGTTACAGTGGGAAAGTTGGTGTGAGAAAGGCGATGCCTACTGGTGCTTCGGACAATGGCGCCCTGCGTTCTTTTGGCCTGAACGAGTCGACGTTTCTAGCGAGCTTGATGCCGAAGAAGGAGATCGGTGCTGATCGATTCCTTGAAGCTCATCCTGAGTATGATGGGCGTGGCGCCATTGTTGCAATTTTTGGTAATTTTTTGTCAAATTCTCTTCTTCTTCTTCCTCTCTCTCTTCTCATTCAGTTCAATCCACTAACATGGTGACTATTTGCAGATAGTGGAGTTGATCCAGCTGCTGCTGGTTTGCAGGTGACCTCAGATGGAAAGCCCAAAATCATAGACATCATTGATTGGTAAGGGAAATCTTAAACTTTACTTGGATTAATTTCTCTGTTTTGGAGCAAACTTCTTTTAAGGTAACAAAACATTCTCTCTATTCCAGCACTGGAAGCTGTGATATTGACACTTCAAAAGTGGTTAAAGCTGATGAAGATGGCTGCATCGATGGAGCTTCAGGTTGGTATTATAACATGAATGTTTTTTTTAAGGGTAATAGTTAGGCATCCATTAATGGAAGAGCAACTGTTTCTATGATATTGGTTTAAGCTAGGGTAGGTCACTACCCGGTGGACTATATTTTTCCATTTACCCTTCTCCATTGGATTGTAGAGATTATAAGTGGATCGGGGCTTATTTGAAGCTCTGTGTTTAAAATACCCTACATAATACTAGGTACACGTTTGGTGGTGAATAAATCATGGAAGAACCCTTCTGGGGAGTGGCATGTTGGCTACAAATTGGTTTATGAGCTCTTTACGGGCACTCTAACGTCCCGTTTGAAGGTAGGGTGCACAGATGTATATGACTAAATCCCTTTCGAGAGTTTCTATTATCCACTAGTTTAGTTTTGTTTGAAGAATTTTACCTGTTTTGGCAGAAAGAGAGAAAGAAAAAATGGGAAGAGAAAAACCAAGAAGCAATATCAGAAGCACTGAAGCATCTAAATGAATTTGATCAGGTAGCTTGCAATTCTTTCTTGCTATATTTCGTAGTATCTTGACTCGTGAGCATAGTATTCTACCTAGGAAAAAAATTCAAGCCCAAGTAAATGATAGTTGAGTACAAAGTAACTACTGAAATTAGCAGAAGTTCTGTTTTGATTAGCAAGCATCAGATTTTGACTTTCAGAGTCTTATTCTCAAAAAATGGGAAGAGAAAAGAATATCTGTTAGTTTTCAGTCTTAGGCTTTCAAGAAAGAGAGCGTGAGTAAAGCATGATCCTGATATCTAAGTTGCAATGGACCTTTCTCACACACGCACACATGCAGCCCATGCTATTGTGTGCAGCCTTCACTTGGTTAGTCATTCAATGATAGAGTATTTACTGTTTAATTGGGTCCATTCCATTAATGAATCAATTGCCTATATGCAGAAGCACAAAAAAGTGGAGGACATAAACTTGAAAAAGACTAGAGAGGACCTTCAAGCTAGGGTTGATTTTCTTGAAAAACAGGCTGAAGTGAGTTCCTATATCTGTATTTGCCAAGTTTAGCTTCTCTATTTTTATATCGAACTCTTTTTCTTTTCTTGCTCATCTGATATGTGACTTCATTTTCTTCAGAGTTATGAAGATAAGGGTCCCATAATTGATGCTGTTGTATGGAATGATGGTGATGTTTGGAGGGCTGCACTTGATACCCAAAACCTTGAGGATGACCCGGAGAACGGAAAACTTGCAAATTTTGTTCCCATGACAAACTATAGGTTTATTACTCTGTTTTGCTAATTATTTGCAAAATAGTGATTTCTATTGTGGTTTAACTCATTATTGAATGTGCATTGCAATCAGATTTTTATAAGATATATTGTAATCCAATGGACAATAGTAAATTTATGCTCCATCGACGTTAGGGGTGGCAATGGGTCGGGTCTAGGTTTTGGACCTGGACCCGACCTGTCAGGTCCAAAAATTGGACCCATACCCATACCCGTCGGGTCTCGGGTCCACCCCATTGGGTCTCGGGTCCATTGTCACCCTCACTATGAGCTTCCTTTTTTCTTTTTTTTTGCCCCTTTTTTTACCATTATATACCCGTATTATTGGCAACATGGTCACAATCATCCGCTATTAAATTTCAAGCTGTGTGATTTGTTGTTTAATAACTAAAGATGACTACTAGTTTTACTTATATACGATCCTTAATACACCCAAATGAATAGGGCTTAAAGCAAAGTATTTTATCTCTAACAGTTTACGGGTATGGGTCGGGTTCAGCTGGACCCAGGCCCTGACCCGTATAGTGTTCGGGACCAAGTTTTGGACCCGGACCCAACCCACCGGGTCCAAATGCTAGACCCATACCCAACCTGTGTTGGGTTCAGGTCCATTGCCACCCCTGATCGACGTTGTGACCATCTGTTGATATAGTGAACAATGATAATGAGCGAGTGAAAACACCCATTAGCAGCAGTCTAGCTCTACGGTGTGTCTCCCTCTCTCTCCATCATTGTTCAGAATTGTATTGCACGATGATGACCAATGGACTATCTCTTTTTCTCTCATTTTCTTCAAGTTTAGGGATAGATCTATCATGGCCTGTACCATGTCATAAAAGAAAACATACAAAGGCTATGGGCTCTAAATTTGTCCAATTTTTTCACTTCAACAGAATAACAAGCTCTCTGTTTTCCCTCTATGAATCAGCTTGTTTTTTTCTTCTGTTGAGGAAGTAAAAACAAAATTACACTCTGAGAAGTAAAAATGTTATAAGCACAAATTAATCTACCTCCATAGTGGTTTCTTTAGGACCTTATTGGTTAAGAAGGTTTTCTGTTGACACAGATATGTTTATGAAAAGTTCCATATCTTGTTATTTCATGATATGCTCAATCAGGAAGTATCTCTGCAGGACAGAATTGAAATATGGCATATTTAGCAAATTGGACGCATGCTCCTTTGTTACAAACATTTACAATGATGGAAATATACTCAGCATTGTCACAGACTGCTCTCCCCATGGCACCCATGTTGCTGGAATAACAGCTGCTTTTCACCCAAATGTATTTCTCTCTCTGTTTCTTTTGTTGTATCCATATTCTGAGGTACTTTTGCTTACTGCTAATTTGGAACAATCGCTACTGGACTTTTAGGAACCCTTACTAAATGGAGTTGCACCAGGTGCACAAATTGTTTCATGTAAAATTGGTGATTCACGTCTGGGTTCAATGGAAACAGGCACTGGGCTGATTAGAGCTATGATAGCAGCTGTGGAGGTACATGTTGATTATTGAGGACTTTCTCTATATTTGACTATCAGGGACTTTATTTATCCTATTATCACACAAAATTATACTATAATGCAATGGAGGGTCATTCACTGTTTGACTTAGATAGAGTGGGCCCACCACTCGGATTGTGAACTGCTCTGGGGGTCCTGCTCTTTATCTCCCTTGATCATTCTCCAGTATTTCATAGGAGGGTCATGATGCCAACTGATTATAAATTTATGCAGAATTGCATTGGCCTGCGGTTTATTAATTTTTTCTCCTGATCGCGACATATAAAACTTTTCAATGTTCCTTGACAGTCAATTATTGTTCTTGGATAATTCATTGGGTCTTATTGCTTGTTCAAAAACTCTGATGTTCTTAACAGCACAAGTGCGACCTCATCAACATGAGTTATGGGGAGGCGACCATGCTCCCTGACTATGGACGTTTTGTTGACCTTGTAAACGAGGTGCTTTCTAAATTACCTGTGCTCTAGTTTGTTAGCAGCGTATCTTTTGTTTTGTTTTCAATTAGAAACAGTACAGTTTGTCTGGGAAAAAAGTTTCCACTGTGATCTGATATTTTTCAACGGTTGCTCCAGGTAGTGGACAAACACCGTGTAATATTCATTAGCAGTGCTGGCAATAGTGGGCCTGCATTAACCACTGTGGGTGCACCTGGTGGAACAAGTTCAAGCATAATAGGAATTGGGGCATATGTCTCGCCTGCCATGGCTGCTGGGGCCCACTGTCTGGTTGAACCTCCTTCTGAAGGCTTGGAATACACTTGGTATGCGTTCTATTGTTTGCAAGAAATTTCGAAATTTCACATAATGACTGTCTTTTCTCGCCCTCTCTAATAAATATATCTATTGTCTGTGCTCTTATGCTTACAACTTGGTGTATACTTTTCCCCATTGATTTATGATTATAGAAAAGGAAAAGAAGGCTATTGAATATGGTCTCGAGGTAGATCTCTTCATTAGAGCACTGGAATGGTGCTCTAGGTTTCCAATTCTACACGGCTTATTCATTTAATCAATATGCTTTTGTGATGGCATTCTCATCGCCTTTGATTTGACAGGTCTAGTCGGGGCCCAACAGCAGACGGTGATCTGGGTGTTTGCCTGAGTGCACCAGGTGGGGCAGTGGCCCCTGTCCCTACATGGACCCTGCAGAGCCGTATGCTTATGAATGGAACTTCCATGGCATCTCCATGTGCATGTGGAGGAGTTGCTTTGTTGATTAGTGCAATGAAGGTTTCCTCTGCAATCCACTCTTTGGTTCTGAATATTTTTTTTCATCCAGGCTGGGAAATGTAATATAATCCAGTGGATTATGGAAGACCATAGTTCATTGGGGTGATCACCATCCTATGGAATGACGGGTGATGGTGGAGTGAGAGTGGCACCAATTGGAACTGTGCATCTACTCTCTCTCCATCCCCTTCTGTCATTTCAATGGGCATTGATGACTCAATGGACTGTTCTTTTCCCTTGATCCATTGGATTATAGTGTAACTTTCCATTCTCTTGACACCCAATAATATGTGTCCACAATTTTACTGAACGCTTGTCATGTCTTTGCAGGCGCAAGGCATCCCCATCAGCCCATACAGTGTACGCAAAGCGTTGGAGAACACTGTAGCTGCTGTGAGCTCTCAACCTGAAGAGAAATTATCTACTGGACAAGGTCTTCTTCAAGTAGACAGGTTATTTTATGATGGGTTGCAGATCCAGTTGTTGGCTTTTTGGTTGTACTGTTCATTATTATTATTATTTTCTCATTAAGTCAAATCTTAGTTGGTTTCTTTGACTCTTGATAACTCATTATTATATTTATTGCAGGGCACATGAATACATACAACAGTCAAAGGATCTTCCTTGTGTATGGTATAAAGTAAATGTTACTCAAACAGGGCAAGAAGGTAGGGTACCATCTTCTCAAAATTCCTCAAGAGTTTTTGATTTAGCTTTCTTGTGTCGTCCTGGAGGTTGAAGATTACTGTATTAAAATGAGTGAAAGTACATTATAAATCCAACAGATGAAGTAAAGCAATGGTCCATTGGTGTGTCCCTTGAAAGTGTTAAAAGATGTAGAACAGCTATATGTTTGGGTGGTAACATGGTGATACTAGTTAACAGAGCGTACTAATCTCCATAAATTGTGTGGTTTCATCATAAAGCAGAAATTGTTTCCTTTACTCGTGAAATCTATTTAAATATTTGTTAAGAGTTCTCTACACCTTTTATGTTCCTTTCTCAAATAGTTCGTTGCGGTTTTTGTCTTGTTACTTCAATACTTAATAGACGGTTCCCTGTGAAATGATCTCATGGAAGCCTATATTTGTAGCCCCTATAACAAGAGGCATCTATCTGAGGGAGGCCAGTGCTTCTCAGCAATCCACAGAGGTACGATTTCAAGTTTACAGAATGCTTGTTTAGCTTCATCAAATTCCTGAAATTTATTTAGGTCTCTTTTTTTTGTGGATGTCATCCTTCTCCCTCTTTGCTCTTTCTCTCTTGTTTTCTTTATGTCAAACTTATGAGTTACAAAATCTGCCCATAAAAAGGAAAAGTTTTGTGCTACTAAGTCTGTTGCTGTCCAGTATAATCATTTTTCTTATAGATGATACCATTGAAAAACTGTAATTGATATTAGGGTCGTAAACTGACAGCTATTCGTGATTTGTACATTTCTTTACGAGTCATTTGATACAAAACATCATTTTATCAAAAAAATGAATATACCTTAAAGTATGGTAGCTTAATTAAATAAAACCTTGATTTTTTTTTCCGTATTCTTAATTTCATTGTTGCTCTACTTCTTTATGAGTGTATAATGATGAAGGTGCACAACTTAGGTTCGTTGGCATGGATGCTAAATGAGAATATGGATGCATTTATTGAAATATGTGGCATTTCTTAGGGTTTAGCTTATTTGGGTTTATACTTTTAGGTAAATAAATTTGGGTTTAACATTCTGCTGCCTATTGTGGGTCCTTTAGCGTGTGATTTTTTTTTTCTATTTATTTTTCTTTTTCATGGTATTTGTGACATTTGGGTCAAAACTTTTTCATGGTATTTGTGACACTTGCTAGAGCAAAATTTGAAGCAACGAATAATATCTCGTTTGACTATCTATGGGGATTGAACTTTTAATATTGTATACAGATTATGTTGCAATGTGATGAAACATGTCCGGTTATCAGAACCTTAAAATTGATAGAATTTTAATTCCTAGAAAATCTAATCATTTCATCAAGTGTCAAAACATATGATAGAAATGTGGGATGGCATAGAGAATTCTCTTCTTTGTGTGCATTAATGGAGTTATAAATTGTGCATCTAGCATTATGTATGGAAATGCTTTTATATTTAGTAGTATGTTCATAGCTTGTATCAATGTTAAAAAAAATGGATGGGGGCGCCTTGGTGGCTAGGTTTGTGGTGGCGTAGGCGAGTGCCCATACTAGGGTGTGCTAAGGTGTTATTTTTTTTTTGGGTGGGGGAAGGGGGAAGTATACATATAGGCACCCGATACACACACACGCACATATATGTGTGTGTGGGGGGGGGGGGGAGGCGAGAGAGAGAGCATATCGGCCTGTGTGAGTGTGAGGGAGGTCTCGCATCACCACTTGGAGGACATGTTCTTCTTTTTTTATGTAGAGAGGGATTGAGAACATGAGAGAGAGGGGTCCGTCAAATCGAACACTGGGAGGTCATCTTGTTCTTTGTCTTCTTCTTATGTAGAGTGAGAGCATATTGGTCTCTGTGTGTGTGCGTCAGTGAGAGAGAGAGACGGAGGGGCCTCGTGTCAAACGCTTGGAAGGAGAAAGTACTTTTTTCCCTTGGCCAAGGGCTTTTTTGCACCCTCGGCCAAGTTACATCAAGGTGCTGCCTAGGCTCCCGCCTTGAGACGACCGCCTCGGCAGGCGCCTAGGAGTATGTTCACCAAGGGCTACCTCCTAGGGCACGCCTAGGCATTTTGAGGGCCTGGCCACCTAGGCGGTCAACTTTTTGTTTGTCCCGTACAAAGTGAGAATATGGACTTTTTTTGGGGGGATTTATTGGTGTTATACATTGTGCTCCTGCTGCTTTTATTATTACTAAACATTGAAATTTCATTAAGGGATGAAAGTGACAGAAAAGAGTCCAAATTTAACAGTTCTATATAGTTATTTCATGTAACACCCATTTTCAGATAATTATATTTTCCAAAGGGTTGATGCTGCTATTCAATTTTTTGAATGTCATAACATTTTAATTTATCAAGTCTTTGGATTTAATATCGAGATTATTTTTTGTATTACAAGTTTTATTGTGTGAGAATGTAATTTGCTATGGTTTTGCTCCTTTTTATGCAGTGGACTATTCAAATTGAGCCAAAATTTCATGAAGATGCAAGCAATTTGGAACAACTAGTTCCTTTTGAGGAGTGTATCCAGTTGCATTCTAGTAACCCGTTGGTTGTTAGGCCCCCAGAGTATCTTCTCCTTACACATAACGGGCGTAGCTTCAAGTTAGTACACATTCCCTATTTCATTGATTAGATATGTCCTATATTACTGAAAATCTAACTTCTTGGCTAAAACACCAACTTCTTAGATTATTAAGTATCATGTTCATAGCTTTTGAGAAAATCAATTTTGAGGTTGTAGTTTTCATTAACTTAATGAAATGCCAGAAGATAAATATAACTCTGTTGTGCAATTGGTGCCACACCTCTGATGAAAGCCTTCATTTCGGCTTTTCCCGAGTTTCTAATGGCGTCTTTGTTTTGGGTAAAACATGCCTCCTATTGGCCTCTGTGTTCTTTTGCTGCTTAGCCTTATGCATCCGATGATGCTGCATGTTGGTGATGCTATCTTTGATTGTCTTAATGGTTTTCTTCACATTTGAGACACTGTCTTCTCTTGCAGTGTAGTTCTGGACCCAGCCAGTCTCAGTCATGGAGTTCATTACTTTGAAGTTTATGGCACTGATTGCCAGGCCCCTTGGCGTGGACCCATATTCAGGGTGCCTGTTACTATAATAAGACCCATAGTTTTGAAAAATATGCCTCTGGTTTTGTCTCTAACAGGGATGTCATTTATGCCAGGTACCACTTTTGAATTAATGGAGAAATTTGGAGGCCCTAAATCGCTTATCAGATATATATTGTTTCTTATTAAGTTAGGATGACTTACAATCATTTCCAGGAGCTAACCATGAAATCAAATATGTATTTATTCTTGTTTGTTCCATTTCTTTTTATCTAGTTTGATCGTACCTTTTCTCACTTTGCTTTTGCTCAAATTATTGCTTATGTAGGTCATATTGAACGAAGATTTATTGAGGTGCCAGTTGGTGCCACGTGGGTGGAGGCGACCATGCGAACTCAAGGTTTGGATACTTCTAGAAAATTTTTTATCGATGCTGTTCAGGTGAGGCTCTATATAAAAAATTAACATTTTAGTACATTGATTTCTTTTGGGTTTAATAAAAATAAATTTATTCATAAAGAAAAAAGAAAAAAATGAAGAATAGCCTACTTCATTGTATTGGGAGTGCACTAATATGCCTTTTGCAGTTATGCCCTAAGAGGAGACCGATTAAGTGGGAGAGTGTTGCATCATTCTCTTCGCCATCTATTAAAAGCTTCAGCTTTAAAGTTGAAGGTGGCCGGACGTTGGAACTTGCTATTGCTCAGTTTTGGTCAAGTGGAATTGGCAGTAATGAGGCCACGATTGTGGATTTTGAGGTATCCCTTATTTTAAGGTCAATTTTTGTAGTATCTCCTGGTGAATAAAAATTTGAAGATTTTCCACTCCTTGTCATTATGTTCAGCAACTATTCTATGTAATTTCCTATAATTCTCTAATGATCATTCCTACATGTATTTCCTTTCAACATTTATGCGTTTATTTTACAAATCTACCCTATAGCATCATACGTTTTCATGCATGCGTAGATGTTGGCATAAGGGAGAATAAATAGGAGCGTGAATTTGGAATTCCCCTCCATGCCTTTTTTTTCTCTCCAATTTTTCAAAAATCCCTCTCTAGGAGAACAAACAAGTTTAGAATTCCTAGATTATAGTTCTACTCATATTTTGTTATTGATATTTATCTCTAAGCACACTTAATAAGTGTGTCTCTATCGCTAACTCAAACTTATTTCTAGACTCTCTCTCTCTCAAAGGGGTAGGGAAAGTAGAACTCTTCTCTCATCTCAAATTTTCTTGAAATTTCAATTCTTTTGTTATAAATTGGTGTTAATAGTTTACAATAAAGAAATTAATAAATTAATCTTAAAAGATTTTCATAAATGGATATTATAAATTAGAAATCTTTTAAAAACAGTTTAAAAATCTAACTATTTTATAATGACATAAATTAGCTGAAATAAAATAAAACTTTAAAAATGTAAAAATAAAATAAATAACATAGAAATCTTTTTGAACATAGTTTGAAAAGCTAACTATTTTATTATGATATAAATTAGTTAAAAATAAAAGATAAATTTTAAAATATGAAATGTTAGATAAATAACATAAATTAGAGCTTTGTGCAATGCACATGAGATTAGTTAGTTTATGTGTGTGCATGTGTGTGTCTCTTTTTGTGCTTGTGGAGAAAAGATTCTATAAGACTACATGCTTATGGCATAAGCTCGTTGGAGCTGACCCAAAATTTTGCACACATGTATATCATATCGGGGTGATCTAAATTGAAAAAGACAATTTCAAATCGCATTAAAATAAAAGGAGATGGATGAACTGTTATTACCACACGACGTTTTCTTGTTCCTTGTTTGTATTTTTCATATTGAATTCTTATCTGCTAGGTATTCTTTTACGAGTTTACTTGTTTTAATTTCATTTTCTTCTAGTGCTGACTTGGTTGTATTTTATAGTGATTTCTGAGAATGACTGTCAATAATAAACTTTTTTCTGTTATCTTGATATATATTCAGGTTGAATTTCATGGAATTAATGTCAATAGAGCAGAAGTGGTACTTGATGGAAGTGAAGCAGGGAAAAGAATAGAGGCAAAAGCTGTATTATCATCTGAGAAGCTTGCTCCTTCTGCTGTCCTGAAAAAGGTAAATTGATGGGTGATGCCGGAGAGAGTGGGATTCGCTTTTGGTATCATGTCCTGTTTTGTTGGTTCCCAATCTCTCTCACTATTATTGTCCATCATTTAATTTGATATTGATGATTCCTCGGACTATGGCTTTTCCATAGTTCATTGGATTATACTGTTCTTGCCCTTGCTATCGTATTTTGCTTTTCCTGCAGATCCGAATTCCTTATCGACCAATAGAATCTGATCTCAGTCCTTTGCCTACAATTCATGACAAGTTACCTTCTGGCAAGCAGATTCTTTCATTGACACTTACGTACGTAATGATGATTTAGCTCGAAATATTCCTATGGTTGCTCTCTGTTCTTCTTCCTTTATAACGTCTGATTTTCCCCTGGTTTCTGCTTATACAGTTACAAGTTTAAATTGGATGAAGGAGCTGAAATAACACCTCGGGTGCCTCTTCTCAATAATCGCATTTATGACACAAAGTTCGAATCACAATTTTACATGATTTCAGATTCAAACAAGGTTCTCAGATACCTCTATACTCTTGTCTGTTAATTTTTGGCATCATTTCTCATCACTTGCCTATAATTAATTTCATTTTGTTCAGTTTTTTTCTATGTTCTAACAATAAGAAGAATCTGTTAGCATAAAATAATATGAATATCAATGATTTACTGACTTTCATAATACTGTAGGAATGTTTATAGTATCACTTTATTGTTCTTTTCCTCTGTAATCTCTACATTCGAAGTTCAACGCAGCCTAAAAATAGATCCCAAGAAGAAAGGAGAGGGATCTTCCATAGTGAAATCCACAAAGTCCGATGGCCCCATACGGTATTGCAGGTTCATTCATACTTGAAGATGCTTTAAAGCCTCAGCTGCGTGGTTGGGTTCCCTTGAGGTTGTCATCCAATTCAGGTCACCCCGGAGAGAACCTCTAGAGCTCTCATTCTAGGTGGATGTTCTGGAGCTGATTGTCACCAATGACTCAATAAAATACTACCTTGACCTCCAAATGCCAAAATGTTGGAGGGATTGCCACTTAATTGAAGATCTAAATCCCTTGCACTTCATCTTGTTTTATTGTTGGTTGTTTTGAAAGATCACATCATTAGAAGGTGCTTACCCTCCAGAAAAATGGAAGGAGATGGGAACCCATAATTCCTTTTTCTCATTAAGTGGAATTTATGATTCCATCTTGGTGATCCTCATGACATATTAAAAATATGGAAGGAAACACAAATTATATCGTTCTCCTGCTGACTATGGTATACATGGAGGTATGTGGTGTATTCCTTGAATCTTTCTGTTCTAAAGGGGTATATGAATCTTTCTTTTAGGATCTTAGGCAATGTGATGCAATTGTGCCAATGCATGTGTGAACATGCATGTCTTGCATGTATTTATGTAGAGGAATCTTTATCTGAACTATAAATGGATGTCTTTATGTACATTAGATCTAATGTTTTGTTAATAGTTAAATTTGATCATGGCCTAATGCTTTTATAAATAATTGATGACAAAAGCTTAATGTATGTACTGCTTTTAGCGTGTGTATGGAGTTGGCGATGTTTATCCAAAAAAAGTGAAGTTAGCAAAGGGTGAATTTACACTCCGGCTGCATTTAAGGTATGTCCCTGTCTTTTAACGGTACAGTATGGGAAATACATCTTATGGTGTTTCAATTCTATCATACTTTACCAAATTGTTTTGCCCAATTTGCTCTTTTGTATTCATGCCTATTATTTCTCTCCAGGCATGAAAATGTACAATATTTGGAGAAAATGAAGCAGTTGGTTTTGTTCATTGAGAAAAACTTGGAAGAAAAGGTAACCCTTCAAGGTCTTTTTATCATCTACCCTACGATAATATTCTGAGGTTCTTTTTATCACTTATGCTAAGCTTCTCTTGCCTACAAAGTTTATGGACTTTATATTCAATTTTCATTATTTATGTGGCGCCTTGATCTCTATCATCCTATTCAAAAGTGTGTGCGTGTGCTGTGGTCTTGAATCTCACCTTCCCTCAATGATCCTGCCTATGATGAACATGGTCTTTATTCTTTCTTCTGATAGCTCCTCCTCTAAACAATGTTGCACTCAAACCATGAGGACTGAGAGTAGAGCCCCTCCTTTATATGCCTTCCCCCCCCTCCCTCCCTCCNCCACACACACACACACACACACACACTACACGTACGTACGACGTACCGTTACGTACGTACGTACGTCGTACGTACGTAC